GAAAGGAAGATGTAACCCTTGATTAATTATCCAAAATTTTGGATGAAACCAATTTCAATTCACTCAATTCAATTTAAAATCCAGATTTCAAACCCATTAATTACCCTATTAATTATTGGAGTAATTTATATTTTCATTTACATCAAAATGAATGAATTATTTGAGGTTAAAATCAGGTTTATGGTTCGACAAGTAGGTTTGATAACTGGGAGTAGAAATGGTGTAAAAAGGGGTGGGAGGGTTAAAAAGAATATTTGAAGCTAAAATCATAAATTATCCTGCTCATTTATATGATTTGTTCATCTTGAACAGACATTATCTTGAATACTTAGGAAAATTTTCTTGTAAAACTAAAAGAACTAATTTTAAAGAATATTCATATTAAGCACACTTGTAGAGAATTATCATATGTATTAATCTATCAATTATAATATTTATTAAACTTAATTTATACGATCTGGAAAAATAGTTTGAAAGGGAAAATGATACTTTTCCTCTCCAATATTTAGTGGTTGGAAAAATTTCATCCACAAAGTTTCATTGCGAATACATTTAGTTCCTACAAATTTAATTTATAATCAATAGTACAAGTGATAGCAAATCAACCAATTTGGGTGGAAAAAAAATTGACAAATAGCTCGTTTAGTCCCTCAACTCTTTTTTTTTGTAAATTATCTTTTTTTTTCTTAATAAATAAAAAATGATATTTTATTTTATCCTGTTTAATGCTTCTATTTTTTTTCCAACCCCAGAAGTACTTTTTGATTTCACTTCCTTCAACCTTCAAACGCGACAATGTTGATTGATGAGTATGACCAAAATTTCAACCTTTCTTTAAAAAAAGAAAAACTTCACTTTTCTTGGTGTTTTTTTATTTTCTTTTGTACATAAATTCTTTGTTTTCCTTTTTACTTTCTTTTGGTGTTTTTGACACTTTCCTTTCTTCTTTTTCTCTAGTCCCTGATTTTTGAAATCTCTTATCTTTTTGAAATAAGTTGCATTTGTTTGGATAAATTGGAACTCATATGTATGCATACTGAGTGTTATGTATTCCTTTGACAAAACAGCTAGACGTTGACAATTGTGTAAATTAATAAAATTTTGGCAATGCATATGAAAATGTGGCTTTACAAGAATTGGATTGGAGATATTCTCAAGTGTTTGAGATGTTCATTCTTGCAAATGGCTAAAATTCTCAAGTGTTTGGACTCATTATGCGTGACATGACTGATAATGTTCTTTCTAAATGTGGGAATTGGATTTGAGGAATGTTAGGAATATTACTTGCTTGAAATTGTCAATTGCTGGCAGGGAGTTTAACCCTTTTTCAAGAGAAAACTCTGCCGAAATTTTCTTAAATTCTTATTTAACATGTGTGAGCAAGTTTCTATCGTTTCTAATAAATACTTATCTTGTTTGTGTATAGGTACTATGGCTCGCACAAGGAGGGCTCGTATTCGTAATCCTACACCATCTTCAAGCGAGGAACGCACTCCCTCATATGAAGAGTCGCCTGAGGAAGAATCTCCTTCGCCTGAGCCACCACCTCGGTCTCGCCGGAAGACCGCATCCACTAGCCGCGACGAGCCGTTTCCAGATTTTGACACCACTAGATTCACGTCACTCGAGAATCGACAGTGGTACGAAGCAGGCTTAGATAAGGAAATTATCATTGAAAAGCACCTGGCACCGGAGGTGGATGCGCACTACCACGTCTCTACGGCATTCAAGAGACTAGGATGGGAGAACATCCTTCAATTGCCCAAGTACTACTACCCCAACCTGGTCCGGGAGTTCTATGCCAATTGGAGGATCTGATCCGAATACAGCATTAGCAATGGTGATGACTCCTGGATTCTGGCTGCCTAAACCAGCAAAAGCAACAGCATTTGAATGTCCTTGGTTGAATTGGAAATGAATGAGGCCTTGGGGGAACACAAACACATCTCCTGGATTCAAAACCTTGGTGAAGAGCTTATTCTTCATGTTCATGCCCGGATTCGAAGTAACGAAACCAACAACAAGAGTGCCCTCCAAAACAAAGAGGACCTCGGTAGCACGAGGGTGAATGTGGGGAGGGTTCAAACCATAAGGCGCAAAGTCGAGGCGTGCTAAGGAAACACCTAAAGTGTTGAGCCCTGGAATTTGGTTCACATTTACTTGTGTTACATTGGACCCGAGTGGCTTTGCTGTGCTTCCTGGCTTGTTTAGCCCTTGAAAGAAGAAATCTTCGGGTTCCACAAGCTTTGGATCCTTGCATATCTTTCCATTGACAAATACTGCATTAACCAAGATCATGAAACATCAGTTAAAGTATAACATGCAACATTATAGTACTATCAAACAAGACAGTCATGAAATTTTCCAAAACAAGATCAGAAAGTTTACCACCGCCAGCATTGGCATCAGGAACTGCGACGCAGAAATCCTGCAATGGACTTGGATCAGATGCATGGACAATTGTGAAAGCAAGTGCCAAGATGGCTGCAGCTATGTGGAAGCGAAAAGCCATGGTCATCAGAAAGGAAGTATCAAACTATATGAGCTAGTTAGAAAGATGAAAAGTTGTTTCTTCTCAGATTGTGGATGAATATGTGGTAAAGATTCCTATTTATAGCTATCTTTGGTTGAACTAGTAAATGCACAGTGAAATCTCTGTAAACTATTTCTTCACAATTCAATCAATGAATGATTCTACAACAACTACTTGCGACTTCTCAATTTTCTTTTCCTCGCGCAAGTACAGAAAGACAAATGTGGTCGTTTGTGAAACCAAGGCCACAAGATCATGTAAATATTTCCAGCTTTACCATATGCATTTTCCACATAGATGTGGAGTTCTGGTAAGACCTTTTCTCGAGATAAGATCGTATTTAATGCTTTTCTTCCTTCCAGAGTATGATTTTACAACTAACTTTTTCTTTTTTTTTTTTTTAACATTTTGATCGAAGGCTGGATTAGATGAAGAGGGAGGGACGAAGGGAGGAAGGGAGAGAGAGCGATTGCCCGGAATCAAACTTCGAATCTTTAGTACCTTAAGCAGTTAGGGGTTCATCAAAATCATAGAAAATCATTCTATCTGAGCAATGTTAACAATTTTTGGAACAGCACAAAAAAGAAAAATAAATGTACTAGGGACACAAAAGAAGAACTAAAAGTTCAGCTTATACATCTTTTGTTGGTGACTGGAAAAGAAAATCATTAATGAACCCGTTTAACATTCAAACCTTAATAAAGTGATGCATAAGTTTCAACTAATCCTTTGAAAACTAAAGGACTTGATCCATCTGTGAAGTAAATGGTCTAATTACTTCCTTTTATTGTACTAAATAGGCTTTAGAACTTGAATTTCAAACCTTCTCCGGATGATAATTGAACATCTTGCTACAGGATGATAAATGTTCAATTAGCAAGTACCTTTGAATAACTTTGCACGAGGATGGACTTTTGGTTTCTTGTTTGTATTTTTCAAAACAATCGAGAACTTGCAAAGGTATGATGTCACAAATTTTTCTTGTTTGTGTTTGAATTTGCTAAGTCTTATATAAGCTACATAATTAATGTTGGAAGAAGCAATTGACCAATTACTCCTTCATTTAATTTGGACCAAAACTAATTTTTATTTACTAATTTTCTTTATTTTGTGTGAAAACAATTTTTATTTTACTTATTCAAGTTCAAAGAAAAGACTCTCCTACTTGCAATTGGTGAACCCATCTAAAGCATCCTCACAAGCAATATATTGGCCTGTGGTAGATACAAGTTCAGATACTGTAGACCGGAGAAAGGAAGATGCTTCACATACCAAGTTTGTTTATATAAAGTTTTGATAAGACAATTTTGCATGGCTTTGAAACTAAATTTTGTGAAGGCTTTTAATTTTGTGAAGGCTTTTGCAAATCCAGTTTCGACAAAAACAAAAAATACATAAATGACACTAGTGATTAAGGCACGTACGCTGTGTGTATCTGCAAACAAATATATAAAAATTGTATTCATTAGTGGAAAGGTTTTTTCAATTTTAGTATTCTGAAAACTAATTTGTTAGAGATTTTCAAGAAACAATTAATGAAATTGAATTATTTACTTCTTCATCTAGCAACTAAATCACGTGGAAAAAATCCAATCTGGATCCTCGATCCCCTCTCAGAAATCATCCACATCCCTCTATCAATCCAAAACTTCATCTTTACTCATTTTTACTTGTAACAACCTTTCCCTTCAACAAGTACCTCAAATCACAATTAACAACTTTTGAGTTAGATCAAGAGAAATTCCTAAATCAGAATATATGTATATAGGAGTTTAGATTGATAGATTTGATTACAGCTTTGAAACTTTTTCAAATCCCTCTAAATTTTGTGTAGATGACTTGGGAGATATTTAGATTTGTAATCAACACATAAATTATTGTCGTGCATAAATAGTCAGTGAATTACAAATTTAAATATTTCTCATTAACACAGTTCTCATATTTATAGCAAGATTCAAACGCACAACCTTTTGTAAATGAGTAATCTGTTCTTATTAAATGAATCAACTTATATTATATTAGTGAACCAACTAATCATGGTTTGCTAAATTATATTAATGATTGGGCATCGCACGCGGTTAGGTCAAAATTATGTTCCAAGTTTCTTTCTCTTTTCCTTATAATTATTGGATTTATTGCATTTTTAGTTTTTTTTTTTAAAAGGCAATAATGGGTAGTTGCTTTACTACGAAGGACACTCACAAAAACATAGAGTTATCTTACATTCTCTCAATATATTATAAGGATTATATTGAGGAAAAGAAAAGAGAACAAACTACATTCAAGAAGGAAATAGAATCAAATATTAGTTTTGGTAAGTGGAAATATGTAAAAAGAATTTATTATTCTATAAATAATTAAACCAATATCAATTTGGTCGTGCTTAATTGGTGTACCATAAACAGTAGGGATTATAGGCATGAAATAATTTATCTAAGGAATGGATTTTTGTAGATCAATGATTTTGAAAATATCACGTCTGCAAATAAAACTAGGACGCTATTCTCTCATAGTATACTTGGATAGCTATTTATAAAAGCTATTGATATCCATACAACACTTTTAATCAATAAAATTTTCTTTTAATTGATCTCAAGAATGATACCACAAAACGTAATACTTGCGCTGTGCAATGCACATACGCTCACACTAGTTCTAATAAAAACTCCAATGACTACAAAACTAATCCAGCTTGGACCTCTTGAACCTTCATCTGCTATACTTGGTAAGATTTTGGCTTGAGAAGGATGCAATTGTGGTAACGTTACTCTTCCATTCGATTTTCTTCTGATTGCTGTTGGGAAACCTTGACCTTGATCTTTGGCAATGTGAGAGATGGCTCCTGTTGGAGTAGAGCTGGAGCTTTGACCATGTGGATGCTCTGTTCCAGTTCCTTTGCTGCCTCTCTCTGCTCCATGGTTTTCTTTCCCCTCATCCTGCCAGTGTGTAAACAGAGGTTAGAATGGTAACTTGGAGCAAAAGGCAGAACCTGATTTTGCAGTATGATGAATGCACAAGCAGATGAAAGAACCTCATCGTATGATGTCTGGCCTCCCTATCAACTCTGACTTTATCAATCTTCTTAATGGCTTTCAAGGTGTTCTCCGTGACATTCCTGTCATATCTCTCCTGCCTATTTCGTTTTCTCTCAAATTCAAATGTTGAATCCTACAAATTTTTGCATTGCATCAACAAAAGAACACCGTAGCATTAATGAAGCTAAAGAAAAGGGTAATATAAGAAAAGTGGGCCAAGCGAAATAAGATTACAGAACTAATTTTGCTCACCTGAGTCATGTCCTTTCCATGCAACCGCCTATAAGCCTTGGTCCATTTGACTTTGCGAGGATTCCTCTTCATCTTGAAGTTTTTGTGGCATTTTGATCTACAAAATCTGAAGATCTGCAAATGAATAACCTTTAAGAAGTCTAGTGGTTATATTGTAAATGCAATCTATAAAAAATGTCAAGGACAAGTAATGTAGAGGCAAAGAGAATAGCAATTTAAGATCCAGATTTAATTTAGCATGCTCCAACAGATGCACAACCTATACAAATCTCGCATCAGTTAGGTGAAGCACATTTGCCAAATTAGCCTTAAGGACTCTTGTACACTGCAACATATTTAACTAATTCAGGATAGCAGTGTCAGAGCATCATATTTCCATTGCCCGGAGAAACATGCAGTAGCCTTTTTTATTGTGCTCTCGCTGGTCGACATTTCGTCTATTTTTATTGCTACTGCCCCCATCAAGAACAACCATTCCAATTACAGTCATGCACATGAAGGTGTGTCTATACATCTCGATATCAAAATTTTGATCTGGGCATCAGAGAACATAAGTTGCTGCTGTAGATGCCATAGAATTTAATGCAGTTTCTTAGCTGAATCAAGAAGACAAAATGACAAATGGGGAGTGAACAGGAATGGGGAAAAAAAAAGTAGTTTCATATCGAGAAGACAAAAATAAAAAAATCTCAACTTTATCTAGGGGTCTCAAATTTCGAAAGCAAGACATTTATTAGAAACAAGAAGAAACAGAAAATAAGGAACTTCACAATTTACTAGTGGTTGTTTCTACTACATGCAAGTTCAGTTCAAATATATATATACATGCTTCTGGGAATTAGTAGTTTACACTTAATAAAACATTTATATAAATTTGATTAACATACCGAAGACATATATATCATAAGTAGGCCTGTCAATCGGGCCTAATGAGCCGGGCTTTGATGTGTTCAAGCTCAGCTCATTTAATTTGAGACATTTTCGGGCTTCGGGCTATGAGTTTCGGGTTCGTAAATGTGAAGCTCATACTCAGCTCACATAATATTCGGGTTGTGAGCCTTAATCGGGCTTAGCCCAAGCTCACTTATTACTCCTGAATTTTCTTAATATAATTACTATAACTATTAAGTTGTAAAACTAATTTAACATTTACAAGACTATAATATTAAAACTAAACATGGACAAATAATAGTTCTTAAAAAGTATATAAACCAAAATTTTTTCAACAATATTTATATGTAATCCGTTTAAAATGCATGATAAATAGTAATAAAACATGCAATCATAAGCCAATACATCTTTAAAAGTTGAAACTTTTTTTTATAATCTTGTGATTTAAATCCAAATATGCTTGATGATTTTTGTGTTTGTAGACCAAAAAAAAAAATCAACCAATAATATGCCAATACAAAAAGTTACTCAACCAATAAGAAAAATTAGAGATTTAGTTATGCATTACTAATATTGGCTCTCAAGAAAGCTCATGAAAGAGTTTTTAGATGTGTTTTTGTGTTTTGTAATTTATATATATATTTAGTATTTAGCAAAAATATATTTGGATATATAATTATACATAATATCAAAATATAAATATTATATATATGTGTAATTAAAGGGCCGGGCCTATATCGGGTATGAGCCTAATAAGGCCCAAGCTCGGCTCACATTTAATTCGGGCCTAATTTTTAGGCTCAAGCTCAGACCGGCTCACTAAATGATCGGGCTCATCGGGCTTTCTGTCGGGCCGAACGAGCCGAGCTCGGGCTGGCCCAGCCCCATTGACAGTCCTAATCATAAGTGTTCCAATCTTAACAATCTCATAGCAACCAATCAGGGAATCCATTGCTTAACATTACAGGTTTTGGCAATTAAAGGTGTTTTAATAAGTTTGCAATGTTGGCGATCTGATATCCAATTTCAATCATATTAGGAAGCTTATTTTGTACAGGCTGGCTTCATTTATGAGTCCTATATTCTAGAATTGGCAATTAAAATATTCGGCTACAATAGAAAGAGACTTGGTATCCGCAGCAGACATAACTCTTCTCACGTTAATATGATTCATTCTTAGAAAACTTGATTAAGATATGACTGATCCAATGTAGCCTTGGGTTGGTACGGCAAACTATGTCTAGGAGAGATTCCGATAGTTGTCTTCCTTTTGTCCTTTTTTCAATTTCAGACGGTTCAAATTACAATTGATCATAATGTTGTTGAACCATAGTGCTAAAATTAGACAACACCCTGCATTTGATGCCTCATAAAGCACACAACTCTAGTTACTTATCGTTTTACTAGCCATCAGTCATCTCTTATTATTTGCATGTTTATACAGTTTCCCAAGACCAGCCACAAATGAGTTGGAACACAAGTAAAAATGAGAACCACCACCAAAATGAGACCAATAAGGTTACTGGCAAATTCAATAAGATATATAAAATCACCAAGGTTTTAAACATTAAAATGCATGAGCAAGTAGAATTGCTAACAAGTTTGAACACACTTATTTCACTTTTTAGAACTATCTCTATCCTATCGATTTGGCCTTAATATCAGTTAGCATTGGGAAGCATACCTAGCACAAATAAATCAATCCACTAGATCATTCTGTGGAGAATATATGAGAAGAAATTTATCCTACCTTTGCATCTTAAAATTCAATGCAGTTTCTTAGCTGAATCAAGAAGACAAAATGACAAACAAGAAATTGATGGACAGTCAACCGGAGTGAGAAAAACTAGTCTCAAACCAAGAAAGATGAAAAATAGAAAATCTCAACCTTTATTTAAAGGTATTAAATTTCCAAAGCAAGATATTTAACGGAAACAAGGAGAAACTGAAAATGAGGAATTTCACAGTTTTTTAATGGTTATGACTACTATATGCGAGTACAGTTCAATATATATACATGCTTCTGGGAATTAGTAGTTTACATTTATTAAAACATTTATGTAGATTTCATTAACATAATAAAGACAGTCATATTATAAAGTGTCCCAATCTTGACAGTCTCATGGTCTAGCCCTCACTCATGGAATCCATCACTTAATATTATTAGGTTTTTAGCACTTAAAGGTGCATTAAAAAAATGTTTGCAACATTGGCTATCTGATATCCAATATCAATCCTATTAGGAGATTAGCTTTGTTTATATAGGTCTCTCTTCTAGAATTGGAGATTAGAAATATTAAGCTACAGTCCAAAGAGACTAGGTATACATACCAATTATAACTCTTCTCACGTTAATCTGATTCAATCTTAGAAAATTTGATTAAGATAAGACTGATCCTATGTTGCCTTGGGTTGGGACAGTGAATGTTTCTGGGAGAGATTCTGAGAGGTTTCTTCGTTTTGTTCTTTTTTTTCCTTTTTTTCCAATTTCTGGCAGTTCAAATTATAATTGATCACAAAGCTGTTGAACCTAGTGCTAAAATTAGACAACATCCTGCATTTGATGCCCCACACAAGCACACAACTGTAGTCACTTTAGACACATGCTCCCATGATTTTACTAACCATCATCTCTTATCATTTGCACATTTATTTCAAGATGAGTCACAAATGAGTTGAGAAGAAGCACCACCACCAACATGAGAGAAATAAGTTCCTGGCAAATTCAATAAGCTACATCCAATCTCTCAGGTTTTGAAATTAAAATGCATGATCAAGTAGAATTGCTAACAAGTTGAAGCCCACTTCTTTCTGTTTTTTAAAAAACTTTCTCTACACTATCGATTTGGCCTCAAAATCAATTTAGCACTGGAAAGCAAACCTTGCTCAAATAAATGAATTCACTAGACCATTCTGTGGAGAACATATGAGAAGAAATTTATCCTACCTTTGCGTCATTCCGAACAAATTGTATTCCATGTCCTGGATATACAGTAGAAGAGCAGAACCAACACTTTTCCAACCTCATTATGTCTTTCTATTAAGGTTAGGATCCTGAAAGACAAAGCAAATGATACATGATTGTTGAAAAGAATAAACTCAGCTATCGATTTTACCATGAATGGGCTGTAATCCTACAACAGCAACCATGTTTATCTTAGCTGAAGTATTTTTGCAGACAATTTGAAAAGAATCCAAACAAACCACAACAGATGAACCAGAACAACAAAAGAGCTCACATACTTCCACCCCCCCCCCCCGCGGGGCTCAGTCCCCTGCCCCAGGAAGGGGGAAAACAAAAAGAAAAGAAGAGGAAACCATCTAGGATCCATCAAGCATATTGTTGACAGTTCTATTGCAATAGAAAGACATCATTTTTGAAAACGTGCATCCATTGATTGTCATCACGCTACCCTATTCCCATTGTTTCAAAAACGTGGCTTACATAGACAAAAACAACCAAAAATACCCCTCATAATTCTTCTTTCCTGCAAATAGGATTAAATTTATCATTTTTTTGTCGTTCCTGTTACGTCCCATTCAGAGGGAAGTATATGTTGAGCTTTCAACAATTACAGATGGCTATTCCGCAAGATATTCATCAACATTGGATTAAGACAAAGGAGAGTTATTTTTGCCTTTCCTCAATCAATTTTCAGTAATCTTAGTCTTACTTCTTGCTTTCATTTTCTTCTAAAAATCCTAACTTTTTCAAGTATAACAGAAAGACAAGAACAATAAACACTGGTCTGGCTATTCCTGAAACATTCTTCAATTATGCAAAAATTAGCTGACCCATTAGCCACAGTAATATGATTTATAATACTAAACATCAAATACCTAAGAATTACGGACAAAACCAAATTTAAACAGATTAATGTGAACTGAAATTGCCATTCCCACATGTTAAGAATTTCTGCCTATTCACCAAGAACTTAATTACTGAATAAAAAGTGACCAAATTCAGAAAAATAAATTATCGAAAACCCATTAATTTGAGGACGAGAGGAAGAAAAGATGAAGGAAGGGTAGCTCACCTGAGATCAGGCGGTGGCGGGAGCCGCGAAGAGGCACCGGCGGCGGCGGGGGGGTTTGCTGGAGGGTATGGTTCCGCAACCTACGACTTGACTTATAAGTGGAGATTTTTTGGTCAACTCAACTGTAAGGTAAAAGTGAAGATTTTCACACTTGGTCCCTAGAGAATGAAAAATTGAAACAATTCACTCAAAACTTTAGAGATTCAAATATTTATCTGTGTAGATGTCTTATCTAATACTATCCAGTCCTCTTTTCAAGAGATTGTTCCGGGCCAAGTAAGAGTTCTGCCAGCACATAAGGAAAAAGAGGGTATAGGGTTCTAATTAGCTGTGAACTAATCATCATTATAGAATATAAAATATTACTCCCTTCGTCCCACTTTGATAGTCTCGTATTCCTTTTTCATCTGTCCCAAATTGTAGTCCATTTTCCAATTGAAGAATGTAGTTGTATTTTAATTTTCCTAAAATACTCTTATTCAGTGTAAGTAGTTATTACTATAAACCTACCTCATTTAATGAGAGTTAATTCTTTTTTTACCATCAATTCAAGTTCTCATAAAGTTGTACCATATTTAATGTGAGGGTATTTTAGAAAAATAGCAATCTAAATTTACTTTTCCAACAAAATTAACTGCTTTTACTTAAATTATGTGAAAAAAGAAATAGGACTATTAAAGTGGGACGGAGGGAGTATTTGAGTGATTGAACTCAGGTATGGATACTCGCTGATATGTGAAACCAATAAGAGTTAAAAAATTGTTGACTTGGAAGGTGTGAATTAGATCAGCCAAATGATGCATTGGGTGGTATCCGACCCATGTCCACTCCTATATAAAATTAAATGAATTTTGAAAAACAAAAGTCTTAGTTTGGCTTTTAAAATGGCAAACAAAATGTTTTTGCATATTGAGTTTGTGAGTGGATTCAATTCATTTTGTAACACTCATGAATGCCAAACTTACACTAGGCCAAACGAGTGTACGAATATCCTTAATTGCTTATGGAGGCAAAATTGAGTTGCACTAGATGTATTCAGTTAGTTACTAAATTACATTAAACCTTTACCGAGTTGAACATGACTGTATACCAAATAAGGTGATAATTATATTGGTAAAATTGTTGACACTAAATTACTTAATTCAAATTGAATTAAGTTTCTTCATTTGTTTATCAAATTTGGGTTATCGATAAAATTTAGCAAATTTTAAACATTAAACAACAGCAAGTTATCTTGATTAGTTGCAAATTTTAGTTATAACCAACAAAATGAAAACAAAAGCTTTTAATTGTCTACTGAACCAGCTAGTTTTTGTTGTTCCATGTAATTAAATAATAATAATAATATTACTATTATTATTCTTATTATATTATTATTATTATTATCATCATCATCATCATCATCTATACTATATATAATGCATGAAAAATGGCAATTGATGTAAACATTTTTTGTCATCTGAACTTTCAATTTTACCCTTACAAAAATTAATTTTTATCTTAATCACCTAGTCATATTTTACGAATATAACTAATTATTATTGTAACTACCAAATCACCATAATCATATAAACCAAAACTAATTATTCATTTCAATTGTTTCCTAATTGCACACACATTTGGGTGTGCCCTTAACATTAATAATTTCTGTTGGTTATACAAAAATAAAGAAGTTTCGGAGTTTGAGGTACTTTATTAAGAACAGTTTGGCAAGCGTACTAAAAAATAAAGGGCTCTGTAATTTTATTTTTTTTTTTGACGAAATGTTAGGATTGTATTATTGAGACAAAAGTATTTACATGTGAACAAAGGCTCGAATCTTACAATGTGCCATTAGCACAACAAATTGGGATTAATCCATTCCACATCTTGATAAACGCTCAATGCTTGAGCACTAAACTGAAAACTTAGATCATTCCTATTAACTATTACAAGGTAAAAGCAGTATTTGTTAAACATAGTACTCAGCTTTTTGATGTCATGTATCAATGTTGTTATCTATGCGTCCGTTGAATTTGTCCCTCGAATTTGCTATAGGAGATTTTTGTCAGGAACTCCAATGTTGACTAGTCACCATCCCTCTTCCCCTGCCTTGATTAGAGCAAGCTTTAACTGCTTCAGAAAGATGTTGAATTTGATTCTCACTTGCTCTTTCTCTCATTGCCGATCGCCTTAGATCCTGTCCTCTTCCGTCATCTGCCACAATGCCATACCCTACAGCCTTTGCTTCTTTGCTCCATTGTATAGCTATCCTCAGATGCACTCCTGTTGATATAATATCAGCATTTTGACTAGCATTTTGGACATTGTGTTGCTGTGGTACTATTGTTTTGCCTATGCTCAGATGCACTCCATTGTGTTGCTGTGGTACTATTGTTTTGCCTATGCTACAACTCCAGCTTTCCTTGCTGCATTGTCAAATTCCATCCAAGCATTACAGGCTTTAGTTATCACTAAAGATGTACCCTGTAATTTGCTGTTGAACTCCTTCTCATTCCTGCTTTTCCATATTTGCTACAAGATGTAGGCCGTGAGACCTATATGATCTTTCCCTTGAACCCTGTGTCTTGCTTCAGTTACTGATGCCCACCAGTTTTTGAAGTTTCTTGTCAAGTTTTTAATTCCATCCCATTGCACTGGAGCCAACTTCCATATCTCTTTAGCTCTGCTGCAATCTAGCAACATATGTTCCAGTGTTTCCATTTCCTCTCCAGAACTTGAACATATTAGATTTCGAATCTTCACCCTTCCTTGGGTCCTTTCCAAATGAACAGTTTAATTTTGTGACTAATGTCTAAGCTCCAAAGTACCTTCCAAGCTTGTTGGTTTATTGATCTCTTCCTTGCCTCTGCCTCTTCTGCCCATTACTGTTTTATATCTGGATTGCACTGTGAATTCTCCCATCTTGCACTCTCTCTTCCTTTACCTCCAGCACTGGTGCTTGTATTCAGCAACACAGTATATCTCACTCCTACTCCGAAACTCCTACGGCATTTCATGTATACAATTACAGTAAAGTTTTTGAAAAACACCCCCAGAATGTATTTTAAAAATAAATAAAATAGAAATTTTTATTAACAAATACTAAAATATTAGGAATATGTATGTAATTTCACTATTAATATATATATATATATATATACACACACACACACTAGTAATAGTTCACGTGCTTTGCACGTGATTGTAATATCTTAAAATATATTATTCTTTAGATACTAAAAATTTTTTATGAAAATTTGATCATCAACACCATAATATAGTATTTTTATGTTATTTATTTTTTTAAGCTAGTTAGTTTTAAAAATTTTATTAAATGAAAAGAGATCGAAAACATTCCAATGTAATTGACATTTCCTTTAGGATTGAATTTGGAATCATGTACCAAACACTTTTTGATTTATTGTTTGAACTCTAACATTTCAAATATTGATAACATCATGTTTTACCAAAATTATTGTATATTCATGATTCTATTGCATATAAACCATAATCATTGTAATTTTTTATAAACAAAGAAGTTAATTAAGTTAGAAAAATAAATGAACATACATGTAATTTTAAATTCTTTGTATTATGTTGATTCTATGTTTGTCAATAATGGAGTATAAATGATTCACGATGTAAAGTTTTTTTGGCTTGTATATTCTGACAATTGAAAGTTTATAGATAGAGATAGTTAGAGTTTTTCTATTTTCCTTTTTTTTATTCATATCTTTAGCACAATCCAATGCGAAGCAAAAGCAACAAGTCTACTTTTTTCACATGAGCACAATATTTTTGATTTTAGTATTAGTTTTTTTGATGATCATGGAATTGGAGTGAGAATTGTGGCTAATTAACAATTTTAATATTTATTTTTTGTATATTGCAGTGTTGTATTTTTTAATTGCCAATTTTTAATCCATAACCGCCATCATTATTATCAATTATTGGAATGCACTAAATGTCTAATTACAATTGTCACCACAAATAAAATTTACTTAATTTTAAAGTTTTTCATTTCATAACCGTTTCCATTATTAGCTAATATTGCAATACAATAAATATATGTAATCATTAGAAAAAATAAGGGTATTTTAGTCATCACCAAAAACAATTTGGATAACATTTTCATTTTAACTTTACTCTTAGTATAATTCTTATTTTATCATTGGAAATGGCTTCTGCCTTGATAGATGGATTTGATTTGTTCAAACCAATACAAATGAAGCGTTACATATTATTGTCAATAATAATGTTTGTCTTTCCTTGGATATAAGTGATTTGAATGTTGTCTTTGGTATTATTTGAATTGTATTCTAAATCTTTTAATTCATTTGCTATTTACTTTATGTCATTTTATGAATAGTTTTCAATTGTTTTTTCAATTTTTCTTGTGTTAATCGATTGCTATTAATGATAATAGTGGTTTATATATTGCTATTTCAGATTTCTTTTTTTCCAATTTAATACTACTATTTCAGTTATAAATATGTCATCATTTTTTGTATATTGAAATTCCATTGGGTGCAATATGAAAAATTCTTTATATTGGCAAAAGGTGCATAATTGTAAAATTTGCTCGTGATATTTGTATGAAGATATACAGATGAACAAATGTTCTCTTCGTCTTGTATGTTTCTTCATTTTCTAGAGAGTATCTATATTTTGACATTGATTTTTTTTTTTTTACAATCTTAACTAACAACTAATGATAAATATTTCATGTTTCAATTAAGAAATTTTGATACGTATAATAATTGGAGATGGAGTCCAAGGGAAGGTAAATAGTTTTTAATGAGCAATTTTTAATTATAATTACCAATACTATCAAGATGTAATCAATTGGAGTGTTTTATTTCTTTTAATTAGTGCCACATTAAAATGCAATATTCTAATTAAAAGATATGAGGGTAATTAAGGGATAACAAAAACTAAAGTAAAAAAAAATTACACTTATACTCCCTAATACCAAGAGTGGAGTGCAATGGTAGGTAGGTAAATAGTTTTTAATGAGCAATTTTTAATTATAATTATCAATACTATTAAGATGTAATCAATTGGAGTGTTTTATTTTTTTAATTATTACCACATTAAAATGCAAT